ACTTGAGTGGAGGCCCAATGTCCTTCTGCTACCTTAATACTAAACCTATAAATATAGGCTCATAGATCTATTTCCCCATCCTCATATAAATATATTTACACATGTACATGTCTTTAATCTAGCCCTCTATAAATGCCCTTTGCCTCCCAGCTCTTTCCTCTATTTCCCTTGATTCTCCTCCTGTCCCACTATCACGCTCAGTCCTCACCAGGATTTCAGCACTTCCTCTTTGTTACATTCCCCTTGATGTCTCCCACACCTACCTCCCCACCAATTTGGATCGCTTGTTGTTCCCTTGTCCCTGGGTTTGTGTTAACAAATCCTGCTTCCTTTTAACTTCATTCTGGCCCACGATCAACCTCAACCTTCTTCTGTCTCTTATCTCTACTTTCTCCAAGTTCTTGATTTTAATTCCCTAGTTATTCCCATCTATGGGGTTGTTTGTTCACTGCTCCTTTCCCCTGCTTCCTCCTCCATCTAAGTCCCTCGGAAACTGTAGGTCCCATTGCTTTCTCCTCAGGCTTGCTTCCAATGCCTATCTTATATAGTTAGGCAAAACAACAATAACGGAAACAAAACAAAAAATTGTATAAACAGAGAAAAAAACTAGTAAAAAACTGAGAGAGCACACATAATTCCAGATCTGTCTATTGACCTTTATGACTATCTCCCCACCAGTCCTGGGGGGTTCTGGGAACTTCCCTTCCTAGCCTGAAGTCTATTTTGGGGGCTCCTCGGGGGCTTTGTGGCTTGGCTTTGCTCCCATTGCTAATCTGTTATGTTCCCTTCTTGGTTCACCCCACTGTGAGGAGGTCAGACTGGACTCACTCCCTGCCATGTGAGCCCAGTATTTTCATCTGTTGTGGTGTGCTTCAGCAAGGGGACATCATGTCTTGAGCTGTTGTCGACCCTGCAGTCCTCTCTGTGCCTTAGCAGCTCCTGCAGGGATGTTGTCATCAGGGTTTAGGGTGCCAGCATGGGATCTAGTCCCTCACTCCCTCTTTTTCCTTCTTGGTTTGCTTCCGTGTGGCCATGGCATGCCGGCCCCTCTCCCCATCCTGTAGGTTTATTGTTGTCTTCTGTACCACATACTTCTAGGGAAAAGGCTGTTGTCCTTCTTAAAAGCTCTACTTTGTGTAACCCTATACGTTAGTAGATGGTAAAGATTTCCCTTTGCAATTTGCCTTACTTAAAATGTCCAAAATTTCTTGGGACGGACAACAGAAAAGTAGGTGAAGGGAGACGTTAGACAGGGCAAGATATGACAAAATAACAATTTATAAACTATCAAGGGCTCATGAGGGAGGGGGGAGCGGGGAAGGAGGGGAAAAATGAGGACCTAATGCCGGGGGTTTAAGTGGAGAGAAAATGTTTTGAGAATGATGTACAAATGCGCTTTACACAATTGATGTGTGTATGGATTGTGATAACAGTTGTATGAGCCCCTAATAAAATGTTTTAAAAAAATGTCCAAAATTTCCTTCAAATTCTAATTAAAAAATGTAAACACCTTTCTAAACTCACCCTTTTCAAAAGACATTTTAACTGATATTCCTGTTAAGTGCTAATGTTTACAGTTTCTACCTTTTGAACCTAAAATTCTCTACATATTACATAATTGCATTAAACATTTCAGCTATGTCAGCCAAGCTACAATTACTTGAAAGTAGTAGCACTATTTTGTTAGGACAGAAATTAAAAGGAACTAACCAGTCACCAACTGAGGAGGTTAGTTTATTGTGCCAACTTGGCCGATAAACACGTGAGGTTAATTGAAGGGCGGAAGGATAAATGGCTCAGTGTGCCTCGTCTTCTAGTGTTCGGGTCTCTTGCTTTCTGATGGTCGGACCAGGGTGAAGCTACCTCAGTCAGTTCCCTGCTTCAGCTGGCAAGACTCATTTTCTGTAAGACATCCCCAAGGAGATGCCGCTTGGACCTAGCCCAGTGCAGCTCTGGGTGCTGGAACAGCCTTGTGGAGACGTCTGCCAGCGCTGAGATGCTTACACATTCACTGACCCAGCTTTCCTCTTACAGATGGCATCACTGGGTATGTTCTGTGAGATGTAAGAGGACTTTGTGGGTTGGTATCGGACATAGGGTCTAATTATGGACTTGTGGGCTTGGGCAGCACTGGGTTGGTATGTTTTCTTGATGTGAACTTACCCTTTATATAAAACTCTCTTATACATATGAGTTTCTGTGGATTTGTTTCTCTAATGTACCCAGAGTAACACACCAACCAAGCCACTACCCCTATCAATTTTGACTCACAGTAACTCTATAGGACAGAGTAGAAGTACTCAGTTTCTAAGTTGTTAAGTCTTCATGGAAGCAGAATGCACTTCTCCTTCAGAGCAACTGGTGGGTTCTGTTAATCTTTTTGTTATAGCTGAGGCTATAACCACTGTGCCATCTGGGATCCTTAACCCAGTGGTCACCATTTTACATCAAATACCACAGAGTACAATACTTAGGGAGTTCTTACAAGATACTAATATGAAAATAGAACTTAGGGGTCAGATTTAACAGCTATGTTTTAGCTGACTTACTACAAAATATCCAAATAACAACAGTTCATAGCTGTAAATAATTTGAAGTGCCTTCTTCAGAGAATTTTATACTCTTGCTAGTCTTATGATCTTATTAACAATATTGATCAATCATATAATAGGATGTTTTAGGACATTCAACACACTGCACGTGGTAGGTTCTAAACAAGTACTGAACTGCGCTGTAGAATTTACATATACGTTTTCATATTACTGCAAGTATATGCTATAAAATACTGCTCTAATAGACACAGAGGTTTAAAGATAAGAATATTGCAATTAAAATACATACTGCTTATATCTTTAGGCTCTATCTTTAACTTGCACAAGTAGCTTCACAGTACAAATAAAAACTAAAACCACTGCCAGTGTGTCAATTCTTATTTATAGCAACTCTATAAGGCAGAATAGAACCTCTGGGTTTCCAAGGCTATAAATCTTCATAGAAGATAACTTCATCTTTCTTCTGTCAAGCTGATAGGTTTGTACTGCTGATCTTGCAATCAGCAACTCAACACATGATCCACAAAACACTGTCTCCATCTTTTCCCTCTAGACTTGCCTTAAACACTCATTTACAGCAAGATAAATCAGTTTAACCCTTGTTAAAGTACCACAAATATAGACCGTAAAAATTTGAAGGCTTTGCACTCAATAAGTATTAAAGTAGTTAAAACGGATGACTAGTAAGATGACAACGTGGTTTTTTAGAACAAATATGTTCATATTTGTACCCAAAAGAGTATGTTATCTCATTAATATGGAACTTGTATTGACAAGTGCTTAATAAAATAAAAATAAAAGGGTCTATACACTACTGAACTAGATCACTGCTTTGCACTCCAATTTTTTAAGCCTATGTTTTTAACACAATGCAAAGAAAATACCTTACTAGTCTCGAGAGTATGTTTTCTACAAGAAATGAACAGAGAGAGGACAAAATGGGTGGTAATCACCGTCATCTAGTTACAAATTCCTCCAGCATTGTACCTTTATCCCTAGGATCAACAAGCAGGTCATCAGCTGAACAAGGGCTCTCCTCACTACCTTCGTTGGAGATGGTGAGGAACGATGTTGGGGACACAGACTGAGAACGGCTGCTGTTGTTGCTTCCCTTGTCTGCCCCGCCCGGTGTCTGTGTGTCGATGCTGCGTGTGCTGCTGCTTCTCTGCACAAGGGGCGGAGGGGCACGGTGGCCATCTGGAATATCTTGTGGCTGTTAAGAATTTTAAAATTTTATGTATATTTATCACTGCTTTTTGAAATTTACCCAGATATGCATCCAATGTCAATTTTTCGTTCATTGGCTTACAAATCAGAGATCCCTTACTACTTATTAGGCAAACCAGAGAAAAGCTGTTGTTCCCTCCTGTTAGTGACATTCTTGTCTATTCTGACACCCCCACTGGCTACTGAGAGCATGGGGCGTAAGACTTTGCCTTACCAAGATCTGGCATGTAGATGTGGGCCAATATCTAAACAGATTAACAGAACCTCTAGCTAAGTATCACTATTTCCATTCAATGGGTAACCTTGTCCTCTAAATCAGAATTATCATGCACCACATGCTATTTTTAAGATTATAAAGGACCATGTGAAAGGGGAGAGATCTAGGTGTGACAGTAGGCTCCAAATTTATCGGGAAAGAAAGTTTTCCGTTGGGTGAACTAGTTAGTAATAGATACGTTCTTTGGAAGAACATGTCTAAGGAAATCCTCACAAGGAAAGGTTAACCACAACACTGCTAATTACAGGGGAAATCAAGGAGATACTACTCATTTAGTTTCCTCATGGCTCATTTAGCAGAGGAACCCAACACTGTAGATTCCTGGTTCATTTACCTTTATCATAGCAGGGAAAGTTTCCCTACTACGCAGCTCGGGGAAGGAAAGAGGGAATTTTGTCTTCTCCGAGCTAAATCAACCTTTATCGTAAAAGAGAAACCCTCAGTAAAATACTACTTGAAACACAATTCCTCTTTTATAAAAAGAATAGAGCCTTAAATAAATACATTTTGGGTGTCATGGCTTTTAAAAACTAAACCACAGTTTTTTCTTATTGTAACTTGCATATAAACCATCTTACCTATAGTCTAGTTGGTAGAAAGGTTAACTAGAAGACAATTTCTAACTGCCCTTCATGAAGATAGCCTGATGGGTCAACCAAATAGTATCTGACAATCAAAATAATAGAATGCAGGATTTATGTTGAAAAAATTTTTTATTTAAAGCCTTGTAACCCCCTCACCTAAAAATTAGGAAGCTAAACTTTTATTAAGTAAAGAGTGATAACAAATGAGAAGTATATTATCACCTGTCTAATGATTTTTTACATATACCCAAAAAATTGTGTTCAAAAATCCAAATTAAGTCAAATTATCTGAGATTGAGAATAAAAATGTTTTCATTCATTTTATAAGGTCAAAGTTTCTCAAAAGATATAAATTTTCATTTATATCTCAGTGAGAAGGAAGACACCTAAGTAAGTGTGGGAAGCAAAATTGTGATAATTTTAGTCATTAGAAGAGTTGGTGTGTAAAGCTTTAAAAAAAGACTTACTATAAGTTGCTCTTCCTTTTCCCCAGTCTCTTTAATTATTATTTCAATCTCCTGATTCAGTCCTTCCACACTATTCCGAAATCTAGAGCCTGTTGATTTGGTGATGGGAATGACTGGAATAAGGGTGCTCTTTGGAACAGGAGCCTTAAAGAAATAAGGAGGGGAGAAGAGAAACTTAGCATTAACTTTTAAAATCTCTAGATTGAAGCATGTTTCCACTTTACGAGAATAACTCATAAATAAATCAAAATAAAGTTTCTGACATCATAAATACAAATCAAAGGCAAACCTGTGCTGGACTAGAAGGGAACTAAGGACAGAGGAAAATACTCAAAGAATGTCAATCTTAGAAATTACTTTATGATCTTAACAGGTGAAATTTCAGAACCTAACTAAAGTTCCCCAGCACTTTTAAGAAAAAAACAAAAATATTATTTTTCTTTCTGAGAAAAATAAAAAATTATATTATTACAAATTATATTTGTAAAAAATTATATCCAAAGTTCATAAATAGAGCACCAAGACTGTAGAAATAAAAATGAAGTCCCTGTGGAATTTAACTGTTTACACTTTCATTGTAATGGACTAGTACATTTTGTTCAGAGAAGAAGCTGATATATTTTCACTGATACAACATTAGTTTTGATTGGTATAAGATATGAAAAAAAAAAAGTATAAATTATCAAGGATTCATGAAGGATGGAGGCGGGGAATGAACTGATATCAAGGACTCAAGTAGAAAGAAAATGTTTTGAAAAATGATGGCGACATATGTCCAAATGTGTGTGACATAATGGATGGATGTATGGATTGTGATAAGAGCTGTACAAGCCCCTAATAAAATGATTTAAAAAGATCAAAAAACCAAGCTGATTATATAGAAAATATTACTGGGTTTCCTAACAGGTATATTAAAATGAAACATGAAATAAACATTACAGATGTATCTTCCAAAATTCACACTAATGTGCCCGAGATCATCTTGTGTATTTTTCTTTTGCCTGGCAGGTAAGTGATTAATCCATGCCTCATTTAGGGAAGTTTCTTTGAAACAACTGTCTTTCCAGCAGAGGTGGGTAAGGAGTAAAAAAATCTAACAGAACCTCTAGTATCACTATTTTCTTTCTTTCTTTTTTTAACCTTTTTATTAGGGGCTCATACAACTCATCACAATCCATACAAAACGTCAATTGTGTAAAGCACATTTGTACATTCGTTGCTCTCATCATTCTCCAAACATTTCCTTTCCACTTAAGCCCCTGGCATCAGCTCCTCATTTTTCCCTCCCTCTCTGCTTCCCGCTCCCTCATGAGCCCTTGCTAATTTATAAATTATTATTTTGTCATATCTTGCCCTGTCCGACGTCTCCCTTCACCCACTTTTCTGTTGTCCTTCCCCCAGGGAGGAGGTCACAAGTAGATCCTTGGAATCGGTTCCCCCTTTCCAACCCACCCTCCCTCTATGCTCCCAGTATGGCCACTCACACCACTAGTCCTGAAGGGATCATCCGCCTGGATTCTCTGTGTTTCCAGTTCCTATCTGTACCAGTGTACATTCTCTGGTCTAGCCAGACTTGCAAGGTAGAATTTGGATCATGCAAGTGTGTGTGTGTGAGTGTGTGTGTGTGTGTGTGTGTGTGTGTGTGTGTGTGTGTGTGTGTGTGTGTGTGGTGAGGGGGCAGCATTTAGGAACTAGAGGAAAGTTGTATTTTTCATCGTTGCTACATTGTACCCTGACTGACTCGTCTCCTCCCTAATACTTCTCTGGAAGGGGATCTCCAGTGGCCTACAAATGGGCTTTTGGTCTCCACTGCACTCCCCGCCTCATTCACTATGGTAAGATTTTTTGTTCTGATGATGCCTTATACCTGATCCCTTCGACACCTCGTGATCGCACAGGCTGGTGTGCTTCTTCCATGTGGGCTTTGTTGCTTCTGAGCTAGATGGCCACTTGTTTACCTTCAAGCCTTTTAAGACCCTATTATATCTTTTGATAGCCGGGCACCATCAGCTTTCTTCACCACATTTGCTTAAGCACCCATTTGTCTTCAGCGAGTATCACTATTTTCATTGAATGGATTATCTTGTCTTCTAATACAGAACCTCTATGCTAAATCTAGACTTCTACTCTTTTACTCCAGCTCATCTTTATAATATAACAATAAATAAAATATAATATTACAATAATACTGTGAAAAGGCAGGGGATTTTTAAGGAAAAAAGGCCAATGAGAAGCTTCAATCGGCAGTGCCAAGGCAAGCAGCACTTCTTTATTACTCAGTTATATTTGGGCTCAGGAGTAAAATATGCAAGCACTACAACCTATCTCATAACCCAAGCCGTGGCCTTTTTACACTTGATCTTAGCCAAAAGGCCAAGAAGCAGTGCCATGCCTTTTAAATTTTCTCATATGCATCTGATATCTGGAAATTGAACAAGGAAAACCAAAGAATTGATGCTACTGAATTATGGTGCTAGTGAAGAGTATTTAAAGTACCATAGTCTGCCAGAAGAACAAAGAAATCTGTTTTGGAGGAAGTACAACCAGAATGCTCCTTAGAAGTGAGGATGGGGAGTACATCATACTTTTCCCCCTAAATACTTGAGTTATTATTCCAAAGGATTATTTATTTTTTTACATAGCCAGCAAGTTATTAACATCAAGAAAATTTAGCAATGATATACTTGAGTATATTTTATATTTCTGTAACATAGGGAGTTAGAACATTATACTTGTTCGACGAATGTTGCAAGTATGGAATGCCAAAAGAACAAACAAATCTGTCTTGGAATGCTCTTTAGAAGCAAGGAAGCAAGGTGAGACTTAGTCTTACATACTTTAAACATATTATCAGAAGACACCAGTCCCTGGAAAAGGACATCATGCTTGGAAAAGTAGAAGGGCCGTGCAAAAGAGTAAGACACTTTCCAAGATGGATTAAAGCAGTGGTTTTAACAATGGGTTCAAACCTAAGAACAATTGTGAGGATGGCACAGGGCCGGGTGGTGCTTCCTTCTGTTGTAAGTAAGGCTGCTATGAGTGTGAATTGACCGCACCTAACAACAGACTCAAATTCAAGACCCCAGGTCCAGTTAGTTGCTATTGAGTCTCATGCCTTTCCTGGTTTTTAAACCAGACAGCATCCCCTTGTTCTGCCTCATCAACTACCTCATGGTCCATGTACAGGTTTCACATGAACATAATGAACTGTTCTGGACTTTTCAGTCTTCTGAAGGCTACCAATAGTTTGTTATGGTCCACACAGTTAAATGCATTTGCATGTTAAATAAAACACAAGCAAACCTCTTTCTAGTATTCTCTGCATTCAGCCAATATCCATCCATCTGATGTCTATCAACAATAGTATCCCCCTTGTTCTATGTCCTCTTCGGAATCTGGCTTGAATTTCTGGCAGCTCCCTGTCGATGTATAGCTGCAACCACTGTTAAATCATCTTCAGCAAAATTTTACTTGCATGTATATTAATGATACTGTTCTATAATGTATGCATTCTGTTGTGTCACCTTTCTTTGAAACGAATACAAATATAGATCTTTTCCAGTTGGTTGGCCAGGTCTTCCAATTTCTTGAAATAGTCAAGGGAGTGCTTCCAGTGTTTCATCAGCTTGTTCAAACACTCCAATTGGTATTCCATCAATTCCTGGAGCTTTGGGTTTTTTGCTAATGACTTCAATCCAACTTGGACTTCTGCTTTCAGTATCACTGGTTCCTCATCATGCGCTGCCTCTTGAAACACCAGCCCTAGAAAAGGTTTACTCTCTTTTGGCCCTGGAGGAAGGCCCTTGGCTCTCGTCAATTTGTTTCTTGATTCCTTAGAGATCTCATGGGCATAGCACCTAGCTCCCTTCAAAATGTACTAGTTTTGCTGCTTGTTTAATCTGCTCTTTTAAATCTCAAGAAATTGATTTAGGATACAACCTCTATAAATACTGCCTCACTAACATAAAAAAGAAAGCCTATTCTCAGGTGGAATGGTAACTATAGAATTTATAACACATTGTATGTAAGGCGTTTATAACACAAATAATGTTATAAAACCTACAGCATATTAGAACATTTCAATACATAATATCACATCAGTCTTTTATATCCTTCATAACTGTCATTAACTCATGGAATAAGACCCTTTCATCTAATTAATCGAATTATCTTGTTTCCTTCACAAAAAAGTAAAATCCCAATGCTTAATATTACATGGCTTAAAAAAAAGGCACTGCTACAGAGTTGATTCCAACTCAAAGCAATCTTATGTGACCCTAAAGAGCAGCATCCTCAAACTATGTCCCGTGGGCCACATGCGGCCTGCAGAAGACATTTACCTGGCCCGCTGGGCGTTGTTGCCCCGTTTGTTTTTTTACTTCAAAATAAGGTATGTGTAGTGTGCATAGGAATTTGTTCATAGTTTTTTTTTTTAATTATAGTCCGGCCCTCCAACGGGTCTGAGGGACAGTGAACTGGCCCTCTGTTTAAAAAGTTTGAGGACGCTGCTATAGAGTTTCCAAAGTTATAAGTCTTTATGGTGGCAGACCAGCACATCTTTCTTCCACAGAAATGTTGGTGGGTTTGAACCATGTACCTTTTGGTTAGAAGGCAAGTGCTTTAATCACTACACCATCAGGCTCTTTTGCAAAGGCTTTTTAAATTCTCAAATTAGATTATGAATGCAGGGATAAGTGAAGATTGAAGCTAAGACTACTTTTTTGGTCCCTGCTGAGTAGGTAAGGGAAAAACCTTTCTCAAGATAGTTACAGCAGCAATAGAGAAGGAAATAATGTGACGGAACTGGTTCAGACTGAAAAGGCTAAAGGTTAAAAAGATACGTAGCACCCACTAGACTGGAGTGGGAAAGCACATGAGAACATTTCTGATATGCAGTCACTGGGTCTGTGACTGAACCCTTCCCCGTGTCAGGAAATGAGGGGACGAGGCACTTAGGGGCAGACTAAGAGATCTCAGGAGTTATAAGTACTACAAATAGATTCCTTTTACTAAATGAAAAGCTATTCTGTTTTAAGTATAGTTTACTCTTATAATTGTCATAAAGCATACATAATAGCTTGCACTGGGAAAAAGACAAGGCTTTCTACTCCTGTGAAGAGTTACAGTCTTGGAATCTCACAAGG